TTAATAGTTATATTATTATATAAAATTTTCTTTTATAATAAGAGAGTATTTCTCGAATTTAGATAAAGAAGTAAGTATCTTTAATTACTCTTATTTGATAATACTATAGTTCTTATAATAACCGCCCTTTATTATAGTCTAAAGAATTATAATTCTAAATATTTTTATATTAAAAGATAAGATAGTAAAAAGTCGAAGATAAGCTCTTTACTATTATTTTACTACTCGTATAATTATAATACTTTTTAGAAATATATAAGTATATTAAGAAGTTCTAGAGAGATATAAAATAATAGAAAAGATTTATTATATGCTATATATTACGATAGCGTATTTTAAAGATATATCTTAGATTAATAAAAAAGGTATAGAAATCTTCTAAATTAAATAACTTATATAAGAATTCGCTAAATAATATTATCGAGGAACCGAGCTTCGCAAGCGTTTTAAGGGAAGTTATATTAAAGTTCGCTAATATTAAACTACTCGAGAGGTTAGATTTAAGCTTAATCGAAGATAATAAGAAAATCTCGCGAGTTATTAAGAAATAATTAATACGTAAAATAATTAAATAGAAAGAAATCGGTTTAATAAATAATAATTAGAACTCGAATCTCTCTAAGTTTAAAGTATAAATGCTTCGCGTCTTAATAAGTAGAAAGAATAGATAAAAAAGATTAAACTTTAATATATCGTCTATAGCTTTATTATAGCGAATAAGAGAAGAGATAATCTATAAAGAGAATAAGTATTTATAGATTAATAAAGTTATATTAAATAAGAAGAAAAAATATAAAGAATATATAGCGTAGTAGATAGAATAAAAAGGGTTAATCTCTTTATCTACTAGGCGAATTAAATAAGAATTAATAAAGAATTAAGCACCGCTATAGCGCTTAAAATTTTAATTATTTAAGAATCTATATCTTAGAGATTATAAATATTATTAATATTATAATAAGATATCGCGGTAAATCTTAAATCGATAACTTTTATTAGATATCTAGGGGTATCGAGTCTAATCTAAATTAGATACTCTAGAGACGTTATTATAATCGACGATATCGTTTAATTCGAATACGCTATAAATACTAACATTACTAGCGAGACTAGTTAATCTAGAATTTTTATAGATATTATTATAATCGATAATACTATTTAGCTTAAATAGTTTCGAAAATCTTCTTAATATATATTTAATTAATCGAATTAAACTTTTAATAGATGTTATTATTACTAGTAATATTATTTATCTTAAATAATCTAGAAAATCTATCTTATATATAGTTCCTCAAATTTTTAAATATATACTATTAAATTAATAGCTTATAGTTACTTTAAAATCTAACTAACTTAAATAAATACTATCTTAGCTTATTAAACGCGAAGTTTACTATATTTAATTATTAAACTAGCGAAAAGAGTTAAATATAGATAAAGTTTACTTAATAGACTAAATCGTACTAAATCGTACTTATGATATAAACTCGGCGAAAATCGTATAGAAAGAAACTTTTCAGATTTGCAGATGTAATTCGAAAAGAGTTTATTTAATTATTATAAACTTATAGATCTTAAATTAATATTTTTATTAATCTTTAAGATATATTATAAGTAATCTCTTATATAATCTTAGACTTTCTTTTAGAAATAACTATTTAAACGTTAATAATACGAAATATAAGCGCTATCGCCGTTATAATCTTTTTATTTCTTTATAACTATTCGTCGCTAGTTTAAAATATAAGTTTATTTTATAGTATTAATAGTAGTTTAATATTTAATAACGAAGTTTTTTTATAGTTAAAGCGTTACGATAGTAAGTTAATAGAGTTTAATTTATCTATTTAATAAAAAATCTTAAAGTTATAAATAGCTAACTTTAGCGTCTAACGAGTTTATCTAAAGTTTAATTTCTTCTACTTTATAAAGTCTTTAAGATTATTATAATTTATTAGAATTTTAATATAAAATATACTATCTTCTAGATAGTAATATTATTATTTTATAGATATTATAATAGCGAGTAGCTCTTAATTATAAATTTTATAATTTTATTTTATAGAAATTATTTTTCTAGATTAGAATATTACTAGTCGCTAGTAATTATTCTTATTTAATTATAAAAGTATCGTCTTTATATCGAAGTTAAAAGCGTTAATTTTAAGATATAGTTTTAAATTTAGATTATAATAGCGTAGAAATAATATAATTACGAAAGTACTTTAAAGCTATTAAAACGCTAGCTTAGCGCCATCTATTTACTCTAGTAATTTAGATTTTTTACTATTTTTACTTTCTTTAAGTAAGTTAATAAGTAGTATTATTATACTAAAATAACTATAAATAAATTATTAATAGAAATTAATAAAGTTTAAAAAGACTTATATATTCTAATAACTTTTTAATTTTAACTACTTCTTAATAATAGCGATATATTTTTAATTTATTACGATATCTTCGATAAATATAATAAATTCTAAAAACTTAACTCGTTTAATATAGAATTAATACTTTTTTAAGTTAGCGTATAGTTGAAACTAACGTAGATACTTAAATACTTACTTAATATATTATTAATAATTTATTAAATTAATACTATAAATTAGAATATTATTTAAATATACTATATATATTATATTTATTAAATCTATAAAAACTCTATTAATATACGCTTAAAAAGTTATTAATATATTAATGAGTTTAAAAGATATAATTAAATATTCGAAGTGGTCGTAATAACTACGAAACGCTATTTTCTACTTATCGTCTTCTTTAATTTAAATTTAATAATAGATATTCTTAAGATTTAACTTTATAAAGATTTTAACTTTATATAAGCGATCTAGAGTCTTAATAATTAGAAATAGCGAATATCGATTTTTAATAGTTATCGTATTTAGACTTCGATAATTAACGTAAAAATAAAGTTCTCTATTCTTTTTAGAAATAAAAAGAATTAATATTTCGACTAAGAAAGTCGAGTAATAAATTTAATCTTTTTAAAGAAAGTTCTTTAAATAGCGTTATAGCTTTATTAACTTCGTTTAAGATAGATTATATAAGAGATTATATAGCGACTTTTTATTACTCTTAATCTTAATAATATAATCTCTCTACTTAAGCGTAAATAAGATTCTTACTTTTTTATTAAAAAAAACGTCGTTAAATTTTAATAACTTCTAAGAAAGCTTTAAACTATATCTATTTTTCGATTCGCTTCGCGCTATTATAATATATATAATCGCGAATATATTTAACTTCTCTTTAATAATTCGAATAAATTTAGTTAATTTTTTAATTTATAATTTACTAGCGTTAACTTTAAATTATTATTACTCTATCGTTAAATTTAATAATACTTATAATTAACTTAATTTAAGTATATCTAATATAATATTAAAGTCTTTTTAATTAATAATATAGAAGAGTATATTATACTTTTTATTTTAATTTTAACTATTTACTAATTAGTAATCTAGCTAATATACGCTATAGTAATATATACTTTAATTACTTAGCGCTTTCGATTACGATAAAATAATATTATAAGATTCTAAATTCTATTAAATTACGAACTTTTATAAAATTAAATTAATATACGTTTTAGTATCGAGTAGAGTAACGAGTTACCTCTATTTATTCTAAAGCTTTATTTACTTCTTTATAAGAATAGAAAAAATTATCTTTATTAATCGTTATTCTTATCTCGCTTCTAAGACGATTATAAGATTAAATCTTTTTTATCGATATTGCGTTAATATATACTATAGACGATTTATCGAGATTTAAATACTTAGATATTTAATAATTCTATTTATTATAATAAAAACAATTATTCTTTTTATAATTAGAGTTAAAGAATTTAACTTTATACTTTATATTATCGTCTTAGATATACGCTACGTAAGCGCCGCTATTTAAAATTAATTTAGACTTTAAAATTTAATTCTTTAGAGACTTATTCTTAGTAAACTCTCTCGAAAACTTTAAATAGAAATCGCTATTAAAGTATACGCGTTTTAAAATCCTTTTTTATATAATAGTCTAGATAAGAATTTCTTTTTATTACTTCGATATACTATTAATATTTAAAATCTTATTTTTAAACTCTAATTTAAGTTTAATTAAGAAGAAATTAATCTAATATTTCTTAGAAAATAGAGTTATATAGACCTCTAGCTTTTTTAAATAGATTTTAAAAATAGATATCTTCTAATCGAAGCGTTATTTAGTCTTCTTCTACTTTTCGTAGATAAGAAGATAACGATTTATTAAATTCGCTACTAAATTAAATAGAAACTACTTAAAGAATTTAAAAGTTATATCTTCTAGACTATAAATTTAATAGTATCTATATTAATAGATATTAAAGTTATCTTTTAAAAATTATATATAATAAATAATTCTTAATTAATTAATAATAAAATACTTAGAATTTATAAGAAATTTAATTTTAACTTCGCGAAACTAGCGTAGATACTCTCTCTTACTAATTTTTTTATAAGAATATATTCTTTTAAAGCGAAGTATTTTTATTTTAATTAATATATTTATTAAAGACGCGATAGTAATTAATATAAATAGATCTTCGCTAGTTATAGATAATAAGCTAGCGTTATAAAGCTCGCGATTATAAGCTTTTAACGTAGTTAATTCTTATTCTTATTTTAGATAATAATTTTTAATCTTAGTAATTATATTAAGAAATAGTTCTTAATATCATAATATTGATGTGGTATAAAGTTGTTCTATTAATCTAAGTGGTCTGCAGGCACATATGTGCGGAGGGGAGGCGCGCTAAGGCCTAATTGGGAAGGTGTGCCGAGTGTGAAGGATTAATCCGTAACAATTGCCCACAAAAAACACGAATGGCCATGTCCTCATGGCAAGAATCGAAATATCGGAAAGAATTGGAGACACCTGGCTAATTAGTGGTGTGCATCCCACGAGTTCTCCTGCCGCAGTGGAACTTTCGAAATAGCTATCAGAGCAAGACATCAGACGGTTTCAATTCGTCCAAGTATGCATCGTCCGATGTTCCTCCTCAATGATAGTGGGCCATAGTGGTTTGGCTGTGAGCGTCGCAGTAGATCCTTCTCTTGTATGCTCAACTCAGTGATTGTGTGCCACAATAATGTAGTGGGGATGATAGGCCAAATTGCAGTGTCGTTCTCCGCTTGCTGAGTGGCGATCTGACGTGGGATCGTGGAGAGCAAATGACGTGGGATCTTGGAGAGCTGAGCCGTGTTCTTGGTGCTGGGGGCCTTGCTGTCGCTTGGTTTCTCCGCAACGTTCTCCGCAGTGTTCTCCGCAGTGTTCTCCGCAATTGCCTGTAGTGGTTCCTCCTCCTGTTCAACTGGGTGCTCTGGCTGAGTGGTTGACTGAGTGACTGGCTGAGTAGCTGGCTGAGTGGCTGACTGAGTGACTGGCTGAGTGACTGGCTGAGTGGCTTGCTGACGAAACTCATTGCGTAGTTGATTCATTTCAGTCCTTATTTCGGTTCTTATTTCAGTTCTAAATATGGCCATTTCAGTTCTTAGTATGCCTTGAAACAGAGCCATTATGCCCTGAAGCTGGTCGTTTGAGATGCCGGGGATGAGTGGGCTGGAAGTAGACAGGCCTATTGAAAGGTTCACTGCTTGTGTTTGCGTGTAGTGACTCTGCGTGACGGGCTGAGTGCTGATAGATAAGCGCTATGGATGTTATTTGCGTGTAGTGACTCTGCGTGACAGGCTGAGTGCTGATAGGTGAGCGATGTGGGTGTTGAGGTAGGTAGAGGCGTAGCGTGACTGGCCAGCACTATGGATGAGCGAATAAATTCAATAGACTCCTGTTCAGTGATCTTCAGGTGTTGCTACCATTTGTTAAGGAATAGTTCTTAATATCATAATATTAATGTGGTGTAAAGTTGTTCTATTAATCTAAGTAATCTGCAGGCACATATATGCGGAGGGGAGGCGCGCTAAGGCCTAATTGGGAAGGTGTGCCGAGTGTAAAGAATTAATTCGTAATAAATTATAAGACGTTCTTCTATAATAAGATCTTCTATTAATAAGAAATTCTTAAACTTATTATTAAGACTATAGCGACTTTTAATATTATCTTCGTTTTTTATTATATAATTTAGAGATAAACTTAATATCGTAATAATAATAGGTTTTTTTCTTTAAAAGATAAAGAGATTAGAATTATAAGAGCGTAGTTTATTAGCGATTAGCTAGCGAATATAGACTATAAAAAACGTAATATTATTATAAGATTTAATAATATATTTAATAGTAGAATTAATCTCTAAGAAATATTAAAACTTCGAGATATATAAAGTAAATCTATATTCGCTAAGCTTCTAGATATATAAGATATATTATTAAAACTAAATTCCAAAAGAAACTTTAATATAATATATACGATATCGACGTTTTAATATAAGTAGCGCTAAGGCTTATAACGTATTAGATCTAATACTTAAATACTTAATAATATTTAAATAAGAGATATCGAGAATAAATATATTTATAATTAATAAATTAATAGAATTATAGAAGAGATATAATAAATAAATAGATAAAAGAATTATTATTTAATCTCGAACGCGTTTAATATAATTATAATATTTAAATATTAATTTAATCTATTAATAGTAGATTAAATTTTATTATTTTTATAATATTAGAAAGTATAAAGCGAGCTTTATAATTTAAGAAATTATAAAGTAACTATATATATCGTAAGCTAAGTACTTTTAAGTATAAAACTTTAATATATAAATTTTTAATAAGAGAGATATAAAAGAGCTATTAAATTAACTTAGTTAATTTAATTAAAGAGCGTAGTAAATTTAAATTTATAATTAACTATATATATAAATTTAAGATTTTTAAACTTAACTCTATTTTATTCTTTTATATATATTAATAACTCTTAATATAGTAGATAATAAAATCTATTATTCTTAGTTAATAATAAAGTCTATTTACTCTATTATAGATTCTATTAATATATAAGAATAAAAGTACTCGAAGCGAATTAATAAACTCGCTTATATTATTTATTAAATTATAAATTACGTAGCTAAGACGAGTATCTAATATACTTAATAAAATATTAAATACTTATAAGTTTTCTTTTTTCTTCTTTCTTTTTTAATTATTAGTTTATTTAATAATTAATCTATTTATTCTATTAACTATATATTTAAACTTTATAATTATATAATTACTATATAATTCTATTAAAAGAAATCTTATTATCTTATAATTCTAATAACTTTATATATATAAAGTTATTTAATTTAATTATAGTAAGTAACTCGCGAGCTAATTCTATTAATTTATAAAGTAAAAATATATTATTATAATTAATTAATAATATTTTTAATCTAATAAATAATTTTTATTATAATATAATTATTATATAATTAAGCGATTATAATATTAATTCTAATATTAATAAAAATTCTAATAATATTATTAATGAAAATAATAATTATTAAAACGTTATATTTAATAATTCTTTATTTATAAATAAAAATCTTTATTTTATAAACTTAATTTAAACTTAATACTATTAATTTTTAAAGTTTAATATTAAAAACTAGCTAGTTATTAAAAAATTTAAATTAATTAAAATATAAAATATATAAAATAATTATTATAAGTATAGCGATAATTATTATTATAATTTAAGTTATAAAAAGATAAGTATTATTAAAATATTTAATACGTAATATCTTAATAACTCTAATTCGATAGTTATATTTCTTTAAAACTATAACGACTTTATTATCTTAATATTTTATATTAATTTTTATATAGATAAAGAGAAGATTCGCTAATTTTTCGCTCTTTTAATAGATATTAAGAAGTAAATCTAGAGAAATATTAGAGATATAATATTACGCGATATTAAGAAATTTATTTAAAAAGAATATAAAGAATAATATCTAAATTAAGTTTATAATTTAATTATTAAATTTTATAATATAAGATATTAATTAATTAAAGTAGTTATAAAAAACGCGTAGTCGATAACTAGCTTTAATAACTATTTTATTATATAATTTACTAGTCGAAAAGATATAATATAATATAAAATATTAATTTATTATATTATACGCTAATATAGTATAAGTTATTAAAATTTATATAATCTTATATTTAATATAATATAAAATCTTAATAAAATATTTTATAATATAATATATCTATAATATTATATTATAAAATAATATATATATAAAATATCTTAATTAGAATTTCTATATTTAAAAGTAGTTATTTTAATTATTATTTTAATTAATAATTACGTTAAATTAATAAGATATAAAATTAAATATAATTATATTTTATTACTTTATATATATAAAAGAAAGCGAGCTATATCTATTAATAATAAGAAAAGCTTATTTTTCTCTAATATTAGTCGCGCGAAATTCGTCGATACTTTATAATTAAAATCGTCGACGATAATTTTATACGTCTATTATATATTTTCGATATTACTATTTAATATAAAATTATATATATTATAATTATAGTCTTTTTACTAAATCGTCGATTTAGAAAAATTAATATATTTTTTAATATTCTCTTAAAAGTATTATAGCTTAATATAATAAGTTATATTTCTTTAAGCTATCTTCTTATAATAAAAAAAAAATTAAAATATAGAAAGTATATAAAAGTATATTTAGTAATTCTAGAATAAATTAATAATATCTATAATAATAATTAAAATTAAGAATTAAATATATTTAAATAAAAGATAACTTTATATTACTCGTATAATAGCGATAATAATAATTAAGATTAAAATATTAACTTAAATAACGTAGCTTTTATAATAGATTTCTTATTAGTATATATAATAGAATAAGATAGAGCTAAGCTTGAAAATCTTGAATTTATATATATAGTTAATTATAAATTTAAGTTTTATACGCTTTTTAGTTAGATCGACTAAGTTAACTCGATAGTCCTTTCGCGCCTTTCTTATTAAAAATTTATATATAGAAGTTTTATACTCTAAAATAACTAGCTCTCTACGAATACTATTTCTTTATAATTTCGTAAATTATAGAGCTTAGTTTACGCTTTCTAACGCTATAAAAATAATAAAGTTTAATCTACTATTAATAAATAAAATAAATATTTAAATATAATAGTTATAATAGTTATATTAGACGCGTTTAAAATCGAATAATAATAATTCTTTTATCTATTTATTATTCTTTTATTATTCTATTAATTCTATTAATTCTATTAATTTCATTAATTTCATTAATATAAATATAATCGTCTTCGATATCTCTCGTCTAATTAGAGCCTCTTACTAACGCCCTTAGATTATCTCTTAGCGAATTCGCTATTACTAGTAATCGAGGCTATAAGCGAGCTTAATAGCTATCTACTACTGCTTATAAACGCGTTAAAAGACTCTTAAAAAGAGTTTAAACGAATATATTCTCCTCTATATACTTCTCTTAAGTTAGCGATAGATAGATTAAACTAATATTCGAATATTATATAGTTATATTAAACGCGTTTAGAATCGAATAATAATCCTTTCATCTATTTATATAATTATTCTTCTTTTATTATTCTACTAATTCTATTAATTCTATTAATTCTATTAATTTCATTAATATAAATATATTTATTCTCGATATTCTCGCACTTAGTTAAATAAGAGAAGAATCTATAATAGATAAATGCGAAGAATATTACGGAGAAACTAAGTAATAATAAGACTATTATCGTTAAAAATACGGCTTAGCTCTTTAAGATTCCACGTTATATTAGTTATTTACTTAGTTAGTTACTTAGCTAGCTACTTAGTCTAATACTCTATAAGAGAAGAAGTAAGAGAAGAAACTATAATAGGTAAATACGAAGAATACTACGGAGAAACTAAGCGGTAATAAGACTATTATCGTTAAAAACACGACTTAGCTCTCTAAGATCCCACGTTATATACTCTCTACGATTCTATATTAAATTATTACTTAGTAAGCGGAGAATATTACTATAACTTAGTCTATTATCCCTACTATATTAAGAAGTAAGAGAAGAAACTATAATAGGTAAATGCGGAGAATACTACGGAGAAATTAAGCGGTAATAAGGCTACCATCGTTAAGAACACGACTTAGCTCTTTAAGATCTCACGTTATATTAGTTATTCACTTAGTTAGTTACTTAGCTAGCTACTTAGTCTAATACTCTCTCTATAAGAGAAGAAGTAAGAGAAGAAACTATAATAGATAAATGCGAAGAATACTACGGAGAAATTAAGCGGTAATAAGGCTACTATCGTTAAAAATACGGCTTAGCTCTTCAAGATCCCACGTTATATTACGTTTTCATTCACTTAGTTAGCTACTTAGCTAGTTACTTAGTCTAATACTCTTTCTATAGTAAGAGAAGTAAGAGAAGAAACTATAATAGACAAATGCGAGATACTGCGGAGAATACTACGGAGAATA